CAGCTGGAGAAAAGCTGTGCGATTTAGAGTACGCTGATGACATCGTATGCCTGTTCGAATCTATGGAGGATGCGCAATGTGCTCTTGACAGACGAGCAAGTTCTGTATCGCCTTTCGACATGCGTTTTGCAACTTCAAAGTGCAAAGTGATGCTACAAGACTGGGTGTCGTCTACCCCAGCGCTAATGCTTGATGGTCAAGAATGGGCTGTAGTGGAATGTTTCAGCCACTTAGGTAGCTGCGTTTCAAATGACGGTAGCATAGTCAATGAAGTAACCGCCCGCATTTCCAAGGTTCGAGCAGCTTACGCAGGATTGAAACACCTTTGGTGTAGACGCGATGTTTCGTTGAAACTGAAAGGTCGTGTATACTGCGCCAGTGTGCGGCCAGTTCTGCTCTATGGTTGCGAGACCCTAACTTTGCGCGTGGAAGATATTCGTCGTCTTGAAGTATTCGACCGCAGATGTTTACGTGGTTTGGCGCGGGTTGGATGGAGCGAGCTTGTAAACAACTCTGAGGTGAGGCGTCGCGTAATTGGTAATGATTCGATGGAGAATTCGTTGTCCCATCGAGTTCAGATTAGTCGGCTTCGTTGGTTAGGACACGTATTGCGCATGTTCAGTTATCGTCTGCCGCACCGCGCCTTACTCGCAGTTACGGCTCCAGATTGGAAGAAACCGCGTGGTGGTCAACAGATGACGTGGAAGCGAGATATGAAGAAATGCACCAAGCGATTAGGTAGGATCGGTGTTTCTCTTCTTCCAGGTTGGGGTCCGAACGACTGCAACTGGTTGGCTGGAGACATTAAAGGATATGGCGGCTAACCGCCAGCAGTGGCGTTCTTGTTGTCATTTCTTAACGGAAGCCATAGCAATTAGGATCATGAAGCCGGAGTTGTGCAAGCAACGTAATCTGGTTCAGGCCCTGATGTTACCATGGCCATAATAACATTTACCCATATCTCGATGTGACACCTATCTTCTCCCTCTCGTTTCCCCCACTCCACATTCACTGTCTTTTTCGCAAACGTTCACACCTGTTTTATTCACTCTGGACTAACACATTTCATATCCTCTCCAGTTCACACATCATTTTTCATTCCACTTTTCCCTATCCAATTATCGTGATCCCACAGCTTGTTGTCAACAGATAACTTTGCACACATACATTCAATCAACATCAGCCTAGGCCTTGTATTAATCTACTGACTAATTTCTGAACAAGTCAGAGTGCTTGAAAAAAGGTATGCATGAACACTTAGATTGTGTACTCTGTGTGTTGAACGTAGAGGTTCTTTTCTTTGCCTCCCTCGAATTAGGCCCAATCCCTCTCCATCTTTTGCTTTATCACTTGATTTGTGTACATTGTGAGCTTGGCAGCGATCAGTGAAGCTCGCTTCACTGTATCTCGCTGTACGATGATGTTGATGATGATGATGATGATGATGGTGATGGTGACATCATCAGTGCTTGTGAACTTTAAATACTGTGTTCTCGCCCCGTTTGTGCCACCTGCTAACCTATTTCTTATTTCTATTTGTTACTATTCTGGACCGGATTTTGTGGTAACAGATAGCAATCATGACATCGTGAGCTTCAACGTTTACCTTACCCACAGTATTACTTTTCCTGATACCTTTGCACGTTGTATGCATTTTCCGACTCCTGCTTTATATCCATCGAGCAGTAACACTAACATTAGTCACATATTCCGTCAGTCACTCGACGATATATTGAGTTTCACGTTTTCTGTTCACCTGGGGCTTAACGGCATCACATGTAACATTTTGATCATCTGGTTTTCACCATTTGACCACCCAAAGTTGTCATCTTGATCAACCACGTCGTTCTTTATTCGTGCTAGTTTTTGTTGTCTGCCCAGGCCACGTTTGGCCTAAGCTGTCGTTGCTGTCTGGACCAGGTGATTCCGTCCTTCATGTCCCACTACTGGCGTTTAGTTTAGTCATTCAATTTTCACTTCGTTACACGGAGTACTGGATTTCAACGGTGAGACTATACAGCTTTCCGAACATTTGTACCCTTATCCATTTGTGTTCCGTTGCATGCGTCAACAGTTTTTTTTAAAATTCACGGTGGGATCATTGTGGGGAATTAGTGAACTCCCAATTAATGAAACCTTGAACTACAACATCATCTCATATACCCTATTCTGCACTGAAAATCGACGGAGTTCATCCGAACGTGATGATCTCAACGTCAACTGTGACGTGGATTTTTTTAATCTCAGTTAGTCATACAAAACCCTTACCCTCGTGCAGTATTTCATCATCTTTCCGAGCATCGCCAATCATCTTTTCTATCGTATGCATGATAACAACCATTCTTCATTCAGACTCCCAACAGGTTGTTGCGAATCACCGACAACTGTTTGCAAGTTCAAACGAGACACTTCGAGAGCTATCCAATCAGTCAACTATCGAAAGCCTATTCCCGAGTGCAAAAGGTGAGCTATCATATTTTTTGTGGTCGTGCATTTCTGATTTCGTTTCGGTCTCAATCCATTTATGTGATTGGGCCTGGAACCCATTGAACTTCCTCTTCTAGTAAATCGGGCACCTATTGTTACAGGTTTGGTTGAACACCTCATTAGTTAGTTTATTTATTCATTTTTTTTTACCCGTCACCATCGTCTTCCTGCGTTCAGTTTTCTGTCGTGTTTTATTTGTTAAATTAACCTATTCACACTTGGAGGCCGTTCACCTCAGCTCAACTGTATCATCGTAAAAGACCGCTGAAAATTCAGCCTACAGGTGCATAAAGCTTACTTTGACTTAACTTGACTTGACTTACTTCGGAGTTATGCCAGGAGCCCCGTGGGAATGCTAGTTTGATAAATCTCTTCTTAGGGTTGGTTATGTAACCGCGGGCTTCGGTTCACTGATTGAATTATTCTTTCATTTCATTTTTCCGTGTAAACGGTAACCGAGTGCGTTCAGTTGGGCAACGGTTTTAACTTCGTGTTGATCGACGCTTTTGCTAATGAGATTCCTTTTAAAACTTGAGATTTCAAGGTGGTTTGGTGCGGCTGCTCTCTTCCCTTTTGATTTGAGTACTATTCCCAAATCTCTGCTTGACCGTTTGCTTGTCAATGGAATGATTTGGAACAGATGTGGTTTCTATTATCCTTTACTTTGGGAATTCCACAAACCTTTTTGTTGTACAATAAATGCTGGTTTTTTCTTCTACGTCTTATTTTTGCGCCTTATCATTCACACAGGCTTTCGGTTTTCATGTATGCACTATTAACGTCACCTTTCTAGGCGGATAGAATGATAGGAACACTGGGTTTGGAGAACAGCTTTTCAGAAATAAAATCCTGTTGCGCATGTGAACCTGTATCGAAAACACCTTTCCAAGTCTCATTTTCACCAGATTCACCTAGTTTTCACCAATTGATGGTGACTCTCAAACTTGAGTCAAACTGCCTACTGGAAATAAAAGTTATCCGTTTACTTTTCAATGCTCACGTTTGAACTTAAATGTTTTCAGATTCTCAAGTGCTACATAACCAACGGCGTGAGCTGTTTGGTAGTTCAGAACAGACCTTCGCCTCGGATCTGGAGTTAAAATCGCCGGTCACTGACGGTAAGTTAAGTCTCTGATAGCACTTTTATTATCCCGTTTTATTGGGTGCCAAGGTCACTGTATCCGCCTCAGTTCAAGGTGGAGGACGGTGTTCGTCAGTGTTCTCCTCTCCCATTTTTTTCAACTGTGTAATGAATATGATTGTGATATATGATTATGAACACAGCTTTGTCCTCGTGCGAGAATAGTGGAACCGTTGTTCACCCAGGCAACAGACTGTTTGATCTGAAGGACGGAGACCACATTGTATTGCTAAAGGAAGATCCATTTCAGATGGAAGCTTTTCCGGGTGGTTTGTATGTTAGTGTAACCATGTTTAACATACGTTTTGCACCTCCAAAATGTAAAGTGTTTTTACAGGTTTGTGCAGCTGCCACCCTCACCATAACTGGGTAAGCGATAAAAAAAGTAGACAAATTTCGCTGTGTGATTGGTCATATCTCACCTGGTGGACGCATCACGGATGAATTCCCGGCAAGCCTACGAAAGTTTTCTTTTCAAATTTTCCCAACCACTGTCCATGCACCTTCGTGCGGCGGTCGTGGTTCTTGTCTTCAGGATGCTTATTTGAATGAAATAGCAGAAGGAAGATTGAAATGCTGAAAGCAGAGTCCGGCCTTCGGTGAAGGGTCAAGTGTATGCTGCAGCAGTTCGGCCAATGATATTTTTTAGCAGAGACTTATGGGAAAAGGGACAGAAGTAGACTGTCTGTATTCGAACACCGTTGTCCCTGTCGCACTGCAGTAGTCTGATGAGGACACCGAACAAGCGATGCCTATGTTAGGGTCAGAGTATCAAATGATGGCTATTGGCACTGGAGCCAATGCTCGGCCTTCTTCTATTGCCACAGTTCCTACGTGTTGCCCATGTTACCTGCTTGGTTTCTTCGACTCACGATGTTTTGTGAGGCAGTTAATAATCGGAAGGAGGTCAACGGTCGTCAAACTAAGGCACTGCATAAGGGTATGGTGAACTTGACCTGGTTTCTTGATCACATCTAAGTTGCATTACGTTCCCTGGACAATGAATGACCTTATGACGAAGCTAATTGATGTCTAAAGACCTCTAGTGATTTGGTTGAGTGTCGTAAACAGTGGCACTAGTGCATCAACTCCATTTCTTCACAGATTTGGATCGGCCTCCTTGTGTGTGTTTCCTTTTTTGCTCCGTTATCGTTTTTCGAACAATTGAATAACTCAAAGGCAATAACCAAACCCGCTCGAGAGTGCACTACTAATTGTGTAAACTGAAACTGGAATGATTCGAATAGTTTATCTCCAGAGGGTATTAACTTGATTCTACTTATTTAGGTAGCTATTACTATGACCTTTAATCGTGCGCAATGCTTCCAATAGGTAATCAATCACTTTTTCGATGCTAGCAATTATTCTTAAGTTATTTTTAGGTGAAAAGGAAATAGTAAAAACAATCATGATGCATTGTAAGAAGGATCCAGATAAACCACCAATATACTGTGATGTTCCTATCTGTTTTCTATCATTAGTGTCATCAATTTCGCTCTTTGGAGCTTGTCATTTAGTTTGGAGCAGCTGGTCGACCATATCAAATTTCCTAAAATGTTATCGAACGGCAGCGTTTAAATTCCCCCTTTTACAAGTTTTTTTGACGTTCGAGATGATTGACGAGTTCACTGAGGAAAAGCAAAACTAGAGGGAACAGTTATTAGAATTTCGGTATAATTGAGCATAGTCGTTTTTCTGATTTCTAAGTTCGCTCTCTTATAATTTGCTCATAGGATCACATTGATGTGCTTAAAATTCTTTTGGCCATGTGATAGTAACGCTCTTGGTGATCATCTCCAATCTGTTCCCATTGTTCACCTTTCCAGGTATGCAACTCTCACAATCTGGTTCACTTCGTGAACACTGTCTTCCTCTCAGCCAGTCTTTGTTTTCAGAGACTTCCAGTATTCGTGAGGAACCAAGTAAGGCCTGCAGTTCATCATGGTCTTCGTAGAAAGTTGTCGCAAATGAACCTTTCACTTTTGTACTGTTCATTTTCGATTCTCTGATTGATTCTATATGTGCCCTTCCCCCCCCCCCCTCAATACCTCAGCTCCGTCCCTGATTATGTTGGACGAGTTTCGTGATCCCACCTGGGACGAGTTAAATGATCACCGTCCATCGGTCACCGAATCCCAAGGTACATTGTTTTGCTTGTTACATTTCAGCTTGTGACTACTTGCGAGTAGTTGTGTGAAATGTATGCAAATGTTTATTTCGTCGCTGATCGTCCTTCAGACACCGCTCAGTTGACCACCGTACCCCTAATGCTCAATATTGGAGTTTCACTCCTTTTTGGATTTTGTGGGTTTTGATTGTTCATTGGGAAATACACGTTTTGGATTCTAGTTCACTCCCACGGATGTTTGGACGACGCATCGGATTATTTGTACTCTGGCCGAATCCAAGTCTTGCACAGATCGGCGGATAGACATCATTTATCAACTCCAAAGTTCTTTGCGGGTGGAGGGCTGACTCGATGATATTATGTTCATCAGTGAAAATGTTGTTGGTAGGATCGCCACTGACAGATAAATCTGTCAGTGGCCGAGAGCTTT